GAATTGTATAGTGTTTTGCTGAAATTAAGTTTCTTTGCTAAAAGACAAAAGCATAACAAGTAATTGTCATTTTTAGCTTATTGTCTATTCAGAGAGCCAAGGATGCTGGCATCTACTTGATTCTGGCAACAACAGGGCATTTCTCACTTTTTCCATTGTTGTTCACAGCATCAGGTAAAATGTTCTTCTTTCTGTGGTTTCATCTTACTGCTTTGTTTTATTTTATTTTCTCCAGAGATAAYATGGACATAAGGGGTTTGGATTATTTTAGCTGATACACTGAAAGTTGCAAAAGGCTGTGTCAGCCTCCTTTCCTAAAATACAAGCTCCCCAGCTAGTGAAAAGAAGCATTGGTTTAAATAGCCTTGGAGAGGCCATAGACTTTGAGTTGAAATAAAGTTGAGAAATTGTCAGAGTTAGTATTTTTTATCCCTCATTCCACCACAGTTCTAGAAACTTGCCCCTRTCATAACCATGTGAAGCAAAAGTGCTGCAGACAATTTGAAACCACAGYCTTGGCAGGTTGTTTTCAAGCTGACTGCTACTTTATGCTACTAGTGCTGTGCTTAAATTAAAAAAAAATGTACAGCAGCATAAGTTAAATCAGTATGTGTAAGGACAGATGTGACCAAACCTGTTTGTTCCTTCCCTTCCTCCCCTTTCTGTTAGTCAGGGCTTCACTCAAACCCCAGGCCATCATAGCTACAAGACTGTAATACTGAATTCATGGTCATCCTTCCTGGAGAGTTCAAATCCAGACACACTCCTTTGGTCTGACAATGCTGCGTATTTGTGATAGTGAAGCAGCTGCCTTCAGAAATAAGAAACTTCCTCAGYCTTCCCTATTAGTTAATTTTTATCTAGTTTGCAACACAGAGATCRATAGTCTTGATTTGTTCATCATTTTTGCTTTAGTCACTTCCCAGTTGTTTGTGATTTCTTTAGAATAGGAAAATCTTATTTGTAGCACTGTCTCAAATTGTAATTATAATTAGTGCGTTCAGCATGTTTATGGATAATTGAAGTAAGTGTATTGCAAATGCTTGTCATTTGCTTTAGTAAATGTCTGTGCTTATTTTTAGATATTCTRGGCAGTAAAACATGTAGGTCTGGAGAAAATCAAACCAGATAATGCAAATGTGGCTATACAGATTTAAAGATACTGCAATATATATGGCAAAAGCTTTTTATGATTCATTTTAAAAGTACATAATGTTATTTGTTTTTCAGAACTTCCAATTAAAATACTGCTTATGCTGCTGTTTACTGTTTATAGCTTCTCTTCATTGAAATCTCTATTCAGGTAATTAAAGAAATTTGGTCTCAATGCCAGGAASAGCAACATTTCTTCTGGTTATGGGAACAGCCATTATCATAAGGGGCAAACAGCACAGAAAACTGATGCTGAGGTGTCGAATTGAAGTGTTACTGGTCAAAAGATGCTGCTGCCTCTTCTCAGAAGGCAGYGCTTAAATTAGGATTATTGCAGCACATTCTGGTTATTGGGACAGCCACCCAGTTAGTCCCAGGAGGCTGCAGATCCCCACCTGCTTAATGCTYTGTTAAAGCACAGAGTTGTGATGCTGTAACCTCTGAGGATTTAATTCAGTATTCTAGCACTTAACTACAGTGAATTGCCTGCACATTGTTTATCTRTTGTTTATCTTACTGTACTGTGGATTTTTGCAGTAGTAATGTATATAATGTAGTAGTAGAATRTAAATAACATTCATTTGCAAGCTCTAATTTGTCAACAAAACTGCAAGTAATTGGTTGGTAGAACATACAATTGCCCGACTCATCCTGTGTAGTTTCACAGCCTGTGGATCTCTTACCACTTGATCAAAGATAGTGCTTATCCTTATAACCACTCTAGTCCCCACTTCCCTGTTTCCCAAACTTTTCAGTGCAAACCCAAGCTGTGATGAAGGGTTTGTAATGAAGTATGGAAGTACTGTAAATGTGTATTCAGTACTTTAGACATCTGCTTTTTGTAGGTGATTTTCTTTGTTTAAGAATTCAGTCATTCTGTCTCAAGAGCTCTAGCTMAAAAACTCTGTAGGAGCTTAGTTTTTCTTTAGAGGTGGAGTTTTTTGCAAGTKTCTTGTTCCTAACTTGCCAAAACATGAAATTGCCTTTAAGCTACCTGCAGTAAACCCGTGCCACTGGTGTCCTTTCCAAGAGAGATCAGCTCACAGTACATCCYACAGAAAGCTTGGGGGAAGAGGTTAAGATAAATCTGACATTTCCAGTCTTTGGTTGTAGAACAACTTTGGTGGAACAAGTCTTTGTATGAAGGGCTGTTCAGTTGTTACTGAAATGGTGTGAGGTAAAATGGAGCAATTGATGAGGTTTCTCCTTAGGATTCCAAGGCATCCTRGAACTTGATAAGGACATTGAGCTGTACTCTTGGTTACCACACTGGGTTTTTTTCCTACTGAAATCCTTAAAATTATTTTTTTAAGCATTATTGGGAATTAATGGGAGATTCTCCTGGTGCTGGTAATAGCTGAAAAAAATAGCTGAATAGTTGCTTTTAGTTAACATGTACTTCTTTCTTTAATTTCTCTGACAGGAGAGAGAAACCTCTACTTAACTGGCTTGAAACAATCTACCTCATCCAACTAGTGCCTTTGGAAATCTTCTGTGAAATCATATTTCCCCTGACCCCCTGGAAATGGCACTTCCCTTTTGTCCCCCTGTTGCTGACYTCTGTGTACTGTGCTCTGGGAATCACATATGCTTGGCTGAAACTCTACGTCTSTGTCTTGACTGAGAGAATTTCTGTCAGACAAAAGGCTGAGTAAAGCCACAGTGCTGGGACCAGTCCCAGGATGTCCCTTGGAGGGGATTCCTGGCACGGTGAGGGGTTGTCACAAGGCTGTACAGCTCTTGATGAGACACAGTGTACRTGTGCCATTGCCACGTGGGGAGCTCTTCTTCCAACACTCCTGTGCTGCCCAAGAGGATACCTCTGATCAGAAGCACTGTCACAGTAACAGCAAGGGCTGCGGGTAAACTGTGAAGCTTAACAAGGTCCAGACTTCTGTCCTGAGGAAAACCTGCCTGATTTTCCCATTATGATTTGTATTTGAATTAAAGTTGCTGTTGCAAATTATGGGGGATGATTGCTGTGTAGGAGAGCATTGTAACTKTGTTCTATGGAATTTATAAATTAAAAACTTGATATTTTTTGTTGGAGCATTTCTTGCATTTTTTCAGCTCATGTCTAAGCCCTGCTTTTGAGGGATACACACACAACTAAGAAKGTAGTGTCTGGCTGGAAACTTGAGGTGCCTTGTCAAACTCTTGTAATRTCAAGTTTTAATATGTCCATATCCCATTGATCTTGCTTCATAGATATACTAAGAGGTTTTAACATTCTAGTAGCTCTTTTTTGTAGGCCCAACAACCAAATCAAGGCATGTTTTCTCAAATGAAGTATTTTAACACTGTTAAATGTACTGGATAATGTGGCTGCAAGTTGTATCTGTAATTAATGTAAAATTCTACAACTTTTAACAAAAGACCAAGTGTCCACAGTTCCTATAATGACGAGGAGAAAAGGTAGATTGTTTTCTGTGTAAAGAATTATAGTTTTTAGACACTATATGACCATCCCTAAAGATGTAGCTCTAGAGATTCCAGTGCTGACATCAAACTGGGAGAAGAGGGGATGGATTGTTTTTTTAATTTTCTTTTTTTTTAGTTAATATTTTTGCCAGTAGTTTCTGAATTTCTTCTATGTTAGCTGAAGAGTGAGACCCCTTCTTCCTTGGCTTCATCAAGGATAGCCAAGGGCGTAATTATGCTTTTTGAGTTCTTTGAGTATTTTGGGTGTTTAAAATAGAGTGACTTTAGTTAGGGCAATAGATGCRTGGCAGAGTAATCACTCTGTGGTTGTGGATGTAATCACAGTGGATGTTTCTGTAACCAAATATCTTGTACATTTAAAGTTTTCTCTGCCAGTGAGTTCATATTCAGACATTCTCACTCTTGTTGTCATTACTTTCTCATAGTTTCTACGTTTTTTACACCATCAGGGGCTTAGCTGTGCTGTTTTTAGCTGCTGTGGCTGCCTGTGGTGCCACGATGCTTCTTCCACCTGTATTGTACCTTTGGTTTAAGCCTCAGAGCTCTGCCCAGGGTAAGGTATCCACAATGCTTGTGTTTGTCTACTGTGCTGTCCTGTGCAGGGAAATGGTCATATACAAAAAAAAAATCCCACAAACAGAAGAGTGCAGCAAAGCTGTGGATGTCCCATCCCTGGAAGTGTTCRAGGCCAGGTTGGATAGAGCAASCTACTCTAGTGGCAGTTCTCCCTGCCTGGCAGGGTGTTGGAAGTAGATGACCATTTAGCTTCCTTCTGYCCCAARCCATTCCATGRTTCTGAGACRTTAAACYCATAACATGACTCTTTAAGTGGCCATGTATAACCATTGTGTGATTCCAGGTTCTAATGAAGCATCTCCCACTGTGGAGCAGTGACTGCCCAACCTCCTCCTGTGTTGACAAAGGCTAAATAATACATTTGGAGGAAAGAGGCTGCCTTTAGGACCTGTGATGTGTTCTGTTAGTGCAGGTTTGTTTAATGGTTCTGCCAATGCTGCTACAGTGGCAAATGACTTAATGTGGTTTTGTATTAATTGTGAAAACTAACAGCGTGGGGTAGGTCTCAGTCTTTAATCTATCGGCAAGAAGAGCACTGAAAATTAATTGAGTTCGATTTTAGTGCTTAATTAACTCCCTAATTTACTGCCCGACCGGCCACGCTGGCCCTGCAGAGGCAGTGGGGCGCCTCACCCAGTGGGCTCAGGGCTGCGAGAAACCCCCGATCTGGCTAAGGCTGCTCAGCCTGGGGCTYTGGGGCGAGGGGTGGGTTTGCGGGGTGGGAGAGTTGGATTTTGGGGTGATTTTGTAGCGGGTTTTTTTTTGCTGAATTAACCATCAGCAGRAAAGGCGGCGGAACGCGAGAGCGCGGCGCGGGCCGGCGGGGGAAGGCGCAGCCGCTGCACCGCTCCGCCCGGTCACCTTCGGCGGGCGGCAGCCATGGCGTTCCTGCCCGATGAGGCGCGGTCGCTGCCGCCGCCGCCGCTGCTCAACAAGGGCTCGGCCTGGCTCGCGTTCGCGGGCTGGATGGCCGCGCTGMTAGACAACAGCTTCAACCAGCGCCCCGTCTTCCGATCCGGTGCGGAGGGACGGGAGGGAGCCTGAGGGGAGGGGGAASGAGCGGGGTGCCAGGGGAGGGCTGAGGTGAGGGGGCTGCGGAAGGAGCTCTGTGGGGTTTGGCGTCACTGAGGGTTATTGAAGGAACTGAAAGGGAAACAGCAGAGAATGGGGAGCTGAAAGGCATATGGGGGCTGCAGGAGGGGGGTTTTGGGGTGACCTTGAGAATTGTAGGGAGTGAAGAGAAGTGAGCCCTGAGATAAGACGCTGGAGGTAGTAAAGGGAGTATATGGCCGGGGGAAAGGGGGTGTGGGATTTGGGGTCACTCTGAAGGATTTATAAAAGGGGAGTAAGGGGAAACAGCCAAGAGTGAGGGGCTGGAGCGGGTTTGGGGRCTGCAGGAGCGGGTGTGTGGGATTTGGGGTGACTGTGAGGGATGGGGAAGTGGAGGTAGCGCTGAGGTGAGAGAATGGGGAGATGGAGCACGTGGGCCCGGGGAAGGGCAGTGTGGGGCTTGGGGCCGCTCTGAGGGTTAAATGACGTGGGGAGGGGAAGAGAGGGAACCCTGAGTTCAGGGGAGCTGTTGGGGGGGAAGGGAAGGGGGTGCTCTGTGATTGTGGGGATGGGAGTCAAGGGATGGGAGCACTTCAGGGTATGGGGGGATTGGAGGTAATTGGAAGGGGCTGGGAAAGGGACATCGTATGGAGGTGGAAGGGATTTGGGATGACTTCCTGAGGAATATGGGCAGCATGAAGGGGAAGGAGCCCTGAAGAAATGGGAGGGCCTCTCTGGGGACCTTGATAGGGGCAAAGCAGGGGGAGAGGATCTGGGGTGTGGGAGTGTCTGGGGGGCCTGGGGCAAGGCCTGGGGAGCCGGTGGARATGAGGACATTCCTCTCTCTCCCTGCTGCAGGTCTCCACCGGCAGATCCTGTTGGCTACCGTGGGCTGGTTTGTTGGCTACCAGCTGGTGAAACGCACGGAGTACATCCATGCCAAGGTGGACAGAGAACTCTTTGCGTACATGAGGCATCACCCAGAGGACTTCAAGGCAGCAGGTACACTCGGTATTTTGAGAGACCTCAGCCTTGCCCTAATCTGCCAGTTAACAAGTGCTAATGTGTGTAAAAGTGTTGCTGGGCTAAGGCTTCCCTGCTTCTTCATAATCTAAATTTCAGCAGTATAAAGGATTTTATGATGTGAAAATAGATGTTATGGAGCTGTTTGATGTGCATTGATGACCGCCTTGTCCCAGAAAAAGCTTATTTTTGTATAAAATTAGCAGAGCCAAAAAAAAAAGCATAGACCAAACTTGTACCACTGAAGAAGAAATAATGGAAATTGGAAATCACAGTTTTTATTCTTATACCTTCACAATTGCTGTGTTTATTCCTGTAAAATGCTTGTGTGCATGGACATTCAGAAATTGCAKGATGAATATTCGGAAAACAAGCAGAACAGGTGAAATATGAATAAATAGAAGTGGCAGGAAACCTGAAGTGGTGTTGCCTTAGAGCAATGGTGAAGAACAGGTTTTTTTTTAGTAAATGTAGTTACTGACCCAACAGTGCAATGGCAAATTTTGGTGAAAATTGTCCTTTTTCTAATACAATACAGTTGGATGACTCTGGCTGTTGGAYTGTGGTCTGCATCATGCCATGTTGGAAGGAGGCTGTAGAAACAAGAAAGTGTTACTACTGAGATCCCTCCACAGGAGTCTGTGGAGAGCCCTATGGAAAAAAAGTTATGCATTTAGTTACAAAAGCAAGCTAATGGTTTGCTCTTGGTAGCAAAAATCAGATTTTGGTGACTTTGTTGACATTAAAGATTTAATATGAATCATTTTCTGGATTTGTCTCAAATGCTGATTAGTTTTTCCAATCTCTTGCAGAAAAGAAAAGAATAGGACAGCTCTTGGAGGATTTCCACCCAATTCGCTGAGGATTTCTCCAGTGGCATCACATCACAGGTTGAATTCCTGCCTCCTAAGGACTTCAGCAAAGTGCCCTCAACTGTTGAACCGTCCATGGCTTGAAAGATGAAACTTTACTCACTTTCATGTAATAAAAGYTTGATTAAATWCGTAGTGTTTAATTATTTGCTCTTYTCTTCCATTATGGTTTGTCAATACATGGATGACTGGTATTTGTAACAGAATAACTTTGATTAATGTTTTTTTCAGTTGTTTTAATTGCAAGAGTAAGAAGTTGTTCATACAACAGACGTTTAAAAAACCCAGACAGCAGTTCTGTAAGTTCCCCCTTTTTATTTCTCAGTGGCATTTCTCCTGACACTTGAGCATGTTCTTGACAAGCTGTTGTAGATGCTGTAGCCAAAGTCTTGCTGTGAAATTCTGAAGAGAAAACAAAAATATACTCTCTCACTAATTAATTCTGTCTCTAGGTTTTTTGTTATTATGTTGCCTTTTCCTTGTTGATCGTGAGGATCCAGTATTTCTGCTTTCTCACTTTGTTGTTGGCTCCTAAAAACCAGTGAGCACACTTAGGGGTCGGGAGGTTGCGTTGATTTGGGATTTGGGGGTTCTTACCTATTTAGCAGTTCGGGTCAAAAGTGCTTTATCTCTTATCTTCCTGACAGTGAGCCCCTGTGCCAGCTCACTGCTCTCTGATGGATTTCATGTTCCTAAAAAGATTTAAAGAAGTGCTGCTGTTGATTTGTTTCAACAATGTGAAAGGAGAAGCCATTCCATGTAGTTGTAAATAAAATGTAGGTGCCCTGAGAGCCTGTCCAAGGCAGCGCAGAGCCAGCACCCCCTGCCACACCAGAGATGCCTGATCTGCCCCGTCTGCCAATGTCCCRGTGGGACCCTGCAGAAATCCCTTATCAGCAGTGGGCAGCAGCAGTGGCCAGGAGCAGGGCAGCGTCAGGGCTTGACGCATCCCTGGGGCAGYGTGATGCAATGCCCTGCAATCGCAGCGRGCACAAGGTCCCTGTGACACACCRGGCTCACAGCCAGCTGGAGGGACAGTGGCTCTCCGATGGACACCCACGGGTCCTGGAGGGATGCAAGCGGCCACAACACGTCAGCAAGCCTTTCCTGCTGCCCCAGGTCACTGACCTYTGGGGACATCCTGCGTCTCCCGTTGATCATGCTATAGAGCAGTGGTCAGTGCTTCACCCCGTGTCCTGGTGTGACACTTCCCTGGAGCACCACGAGCCTCTCCAGCTGCTGAGCACGCTGCCCAGCCAAAGCCATTGCTGCAGGTGACTGCAGGCCCTCCTTGCTGTGACACTGTTGGGCTTTAACTCCAGCCAGGCACCAAGAGCCACACAGCCACTCACTGCCCCATCAGAGGGATCAGAGAGAGAATCAAGGGCAAGAAATAGAAAACACAGGGGTTGAAATGAAACCAATTTCATAGGGAAA